ACACCATTACCGCTACCCACACCATTACAGCTACCCAAACCATTACCGCTACCACTGGCATTGCTTACTGAGTCTGATATTTGATGACGACGGACAAACCAGCAGCGTTACTTTTTTGAAGGAACTCTGGGTAAAAGTAGGTGTGGATTAGTCTATAGTCCACGGCAATGTTTGTCCCTTGGCACGTACCAGACACCAAACTTGGCTCCGACTGAGCCTGCACCGTTACAGTACAGACCACGCTGGGGCATTGACATTGAGAGCCGGTTAGACCCAAGGACTAGGTAGTAGGTTGGGTGAGGGGAGGAAGGCTGAGATTTGGAATCTTGAATTTCAAGCTGTATACTCACATTCGCAATAGGGAGTAATTTGCCACAAGCGAATGATCCATTGGTAGGCCGGGTAATTCCAGTTGCTTGTAGGGGGAGTAACTTTTGCGCCGCTATTGCAGTCTGATGCTTGATGACGACGGGCAAACCGGCAGCGTTGCTTTTTTGAAGGAACTCTGGGTAAAAGTAGGTGTGGATTAGTCTATAGTTCACGGCAATGCTTGTCCCTTGGCTCGTACCAGACACCAAACTTGGCTCCGACTGAGCCCGCACCGTTACAGTACAGACCACGCTGGAGCATTGACATTGAGAGCCGGTTAGACCCAAGGACTAGGTAGTAGGTTGGGTGAGGGGAGGAAGGCTGAGATTTGGAATCTTAAATTTCAAGCTGTATACTCACATTCGCAATAGGGAGTAATTTGCCACAAGGGATTGATCCATTGGTAGGCCGAGTAATTCCAGTTGCTTGTAGGGGGAGTAACTTTTGCGCCGCTATTGCAGTCTGATGTTTGATGGCGACGGGCAAACCGGCAGCGTTGCTTTTTTGAAGGAACTCTGGGTAAAAGTAGGTGTGGATTAGTCTATAGTCCACGGCAATGTTTGTCCCTTGGCTCGTACCAGACACCAAACTTGGCTCCGACTGAGCCCCCATCGTCACAGAACAGACCGCGCTGGAGCATTCACATTGAGAGCCTGTTAGACCTAAGGACTAGGTAGTAGGTTGGGGGGAGGAAGGCTGAGATTTGCAATCTTCAACTTGGAGCTGTATACTCACATTCGCAAGAGGGAGTAATTTGCCACAAGGGATTGATCCATCGGTAGGCCGGGTAATGACAGAGCCTTTTTGGGGGAATAACTTTCGCGCCGCCAGTGAACGGCCAAGGCCATCGTCTACTGGCGCAACGACTGGTTCAATTCGAGAGGTTGGTAGTGCACGAGCTATGATAGAATTTTTGAGTCTATAGTAGTCACTAGCGCCGCGGTCGGCGCTATGGGTTGCGACAGAATAACTCACCGTCTGATACGACTACAAAGACGGAGACAAGCAATAGTTGAATGTTGAGTTTGAAAGCAATCATAATAATCGTCTAGCGTGGTTTCGAAATCAACGAATAGAAATGAAAAGTATTCAAGAAAAGAGGGGGGGAAAAGAGGGGCTCCAGGCCAAGAAGTTCTTCCTGAGATTTGGTGGGTGACCATAAGGGTATAGACACACGCAGCACTTTATACTCTCCTCTGTGTGGGTGAGGCACTCCCCATCTCCTCGATCATGGCTTGATATTTACCCATTGCTATGTACAATTAGAGATATTTCGGGCTGAGGCCATGCTAGTGGCTAACAGCAATCCCTCTTTGTCGCCCACGGTTCGTGATCAGAATCTTGAAGTCCCTGATATTTGATCCTGGTACAGAAACGCGTGAATATAGCATATTGTTGAACATTGAACAAATGGTCCCGACCTCGACGATGGTGAGACAAAATTATGAAGTAAGCATCTCATCGACATCTTTGGAACACCGTTCACATCTTTGGCATGATGTGTCGCCGCTGTGAAATGTTCTCATCGCCTGCACGCACGCCTGGCTCTTGAAAGTTGAGTATCGCAATACTAGAGAAGCACCAGCCTTGTGAAGATAATCTTGGATCCAGTGACCACCTGTGAGTGCATGATGAGTTTCAGTCGGGAACCTGGGATGCTGTATTGTTCATGATATCAAATCCCCGTTATTTTTGCGTGTTCACAACCCAATTCTGGAGGAGAGGCTTTATTTTTATTGGAAAAAGAAGAGCAAGCTGAAGCGTCGAGTAAGACACGAAGAAGAACGGACTCGGAGGGAAAGAAATTTAAAAGTCTGCTCGTCCTGCCGCATGCTACGTGGGAATCTAGCCTAGCGCCCTTTGAGTTCAGGTAAGCGCTCGTCTGCTGTCTTGGTCCTTGACCACGACGACGACGGCGATGAGCCCGCACGACGCTTCACATCCATGCTCAGAGTTGATCCCCAAAAGTTTGCTTGAACTTGAAGCTCCTCAGAGCTTTTTCTAAGTATACAAGGTTCGTGACTTCTGCTTCAAGAATTACCCAAAGACACGGAATGAATTCCCCGTACTGTCATGTCTTCAAGGCCTAATATTAGGGGAGGTTCAACATCATCCATGCCTTCGGGTAGGTGTGACGATGAGTTCCAAAAAAAAAAAGTTCGTCGTTACAGTCCCACCCCCCCCCCCCGCAGTAATCACTATCCGACCGAACCACGTCAGGTACAGATGAAGATCATCAATTTACCGACCATCAACAACACCACAGCAACCAACAAACCCAAACCCACAATATGAGACGATCTGGATCTGGATCTAACAGGCATGGCGGTATTATATGCATCCAGAGGTATGTGTGTTAGTGTGTTCTCCCCAGCTTGAGATATTTGGCCTCTCAGCGTGCAGGCGAGACAACCCGAAAACTTGAATGCGGCGTCCTTACTGCATGAACATAGGCCACCACTCGTCTGGGGAGGGAATAGTGAGTAGAAGGGGGTTTCGCGCGCGTATAAAGGCTTACGTTCGAGGTAATCCTACAACAGTCTTTACATTCTGGTACTGGGACATTGGAGGTTTGTCGAGGGAAGGTACTGATAAACACTCGTGCCAATATTGCTACTGACTGACCCGGACTCGGGTCTGCTGGTCGAAGTGGGAGAGCTGGGTATGGGGGAATTGGTTCAACTCCCGAGTCCCGAGCACCGGATCGTGACTTTTTAAGTTTTACTCACCGCTTGATATGAGAACAAAGACTACCAAGGAAATCAGAAGCTGGACATTGAGATGACGAGGTATCATGAGCCATAAAAAAATGAAGAAAGGAGGGGGCCGCAGGGCGCTCTGCACCCGAGTCACTTCATACCTTTACGCTTCCCACATTGCCTCCCGAGCGTACCGTGCTTGATTCTCTTTCGGGAAAAAAAAACCCCCTGATAGCGCTGTACTTGGACTGGCTTTGCCAAGTCATGATCACAGTATTCAGAATCTTCCATCACAAGTTACGGGTCTGAGGCGGCTTCGCGCTCTGATCAACCAGTTACAGTTACAGTGCCGAGTCTTCGAACCTTCCCTTCCCGCAGTAAGTAGTAGGGTTGAAGAAGATCTTCGTCCAGAGTCACACAGTGGGATGAAGTGTTCAATACATGGGAAATCTAGCTCTCGTCCTCGGTACTACTGAAGCAGAGCCTGTCATTCGTTCTCCCGAGCTATGGGTCTTTCTTCTTTTAAAGAGGGCGGGCAAGCCCAGAAGCAAATTCCCGCTACTGCAAAGCCGGTGTACCTTTGTGAATCGTGCCTTGTCCTCTCGACCTCAGAGGCAATGTGACGCTCCCCGCTCTTTCTCGATAAATTCAAATTGTTCTTGAAATTTCTACGTATATGTACGCCCCGCCGCCGATGTTACACTCCCGATCAATGTACTGTTCACAGAGATGGAGATCATTCCTAGTAGACACCGGTGAATCCATCTATAACTGTAATACCTATGCTATCTCCTCAATCTCCCGCCGAACCCCGCTTGCTTCACTCTGCACTTTATGAACACTGGACTATGATTGCACAGGAGCAGGACTAGATCCGATCATCCTGATATTGCGGCGGCGTGTCTTTGACCATCATGGTATTTATTTATTTATTTAGGAATACATCCCCTTGCGGACCCGTTTCGCCGAGTAGATGACTGTTCAGAAGTATTTTACTCGAGAGAAATGTAGATATTGTATACAAGATCTGACTCGGAGGTAGGTGTATCCCAGCTGCAGCCTCAAATCGACCCGTAGATGCGTGGCGATATCCCAAATAGCAGTCGAAAGTCTGAGCGTGCGTGAGGCATCAAAAGAAGTTGGTACTTGGAAAACTACTGCCGCGAGCACACAGCACACAACACACGGACCCCCTCAATTTTAGGTCGGGACTTGGGGTGTCACCATTGATATTGAATATTGAAGCGCAGCGGGTTGGGCGTCACTGGTCAGCCCCTGAAAAACACACAACTTTTGCGTTAATCCCTAACCTACAAAGCCGGTGTCCTCAGTTCAAAGTCCCGTTCTTCTTTCTCAAATAATAGCTCCTAAATTTCTGTGTATGTGTACGCCCCGCTGAGAGGAGGCTAAGGTGATGTGTTTTCTGCACTAGAGGGCGAGACTAAGGCGGCTTGCGGGGTTGTCCTCCGTGCTGGTAATACTAATAGTTAAAAATTGGACAACAATTGTTGAATCTTTCAGACCATGCTAGTGGATGACAAGTGACAATCCCGCTTTCTCCGATCTCGTTCACCAGACGTGGGTTTGAGATTTGATCCTGGTACGCAAATGTGTGATATACAACATATTGTTGGACAATGAATGGTCCGCACATCCATGGTGAGACAAAATCATGAATCCCGACAGACAGCACTGTGTTCAATGTTGGCATCCCCGTCTTTGAAACACCAATGGCATCTTGTTGTTGAAGTCAGGGTACAATTCTTTTGTACTTTGCGATGTCGGGTGGCTTGATACTTGGTCTGGCCTTGACCTCAAGTCAGATGTTTTGGGATTAGAGTACTAAAGAGGTCGTGTGTACTCGCTAGATCGCTACTAGCGCTAGTAGATATCCAAAGGGATGTAGAAAAAGCAATCCAATTTTATCCTGATAGCCCACCGCGAGGGTCGAACTCGCAGCCTTCAGATTTCGTACTTTCAATTACCCCTATGCATAAAAGTCTGACGCTCTATCCGATTGAGCTAGGCGGGCACATGATGTCAGCGGCGTTGTCAACTTGGTACCGGTACGGACGCCGAATGAATGGACCGGAGCGGCTTAGTCATCATGACACAGGAAACAGGCGAGCGGGGGGCGCCATTACACATTACACTCTGCCTCGTTGTTCTTGCACGACGACGATGACTACGACATTTTGATCCACTACCACGACAAACATGCCACCACCCACGATACGAGACGCAGACGATTCGATTGTTCTTTCAGATTTGGTTCGGTCGGGAGAGGCGTCGAGGTTGAGGAGGAGAGGAGCTATTCGGTCTAGTCATCAGAGGGTGGCTAGTACTGGCTCTAGTACCAGTGTGGGAGGAGGAGGGAGTGTCGTGTATAGGCTCTTTTGTCGGGGAGGAGAAGATGCTGGGACAGGAGAAGGACTACAGGGATGGTCAGACGAGCCGTTTCGACCAGAGTTGTTCCCAAACTCCAACACCACTTCAAAGGGCAAGGAGAAGCAACTCGGAGGATGTGGAGCACTCATCCATCTCTCTGCCTTTACCACCCCTACCGACTCGACTTCATACACGTCTATAGACAAACCTACATCCCTCGTCGTACCCCTCGATGCTGTCTACTTCCGTGACCGACACCACCAACAACCAGTGTCTCGACCCACAGCCGCACCCGAAGACCCCCGCTCACCCTACCCGCCCTCACCGATGTATTCCACCGAAGTCGAACACGAATACGGTTACGGCTACTTTGATCCCTCACATAAACGGACAGAAGACCCTTTTACGGATATTAATGAAGATCCATGTGTGCTGTCAAAGAACGCGTGTGGGTGTGTCACTGAAGGTGTTGGATGCCAGAGTTGGTCAGTCTTGCTTTCTTTCGTTCTTTGTGTTTCCTCTGGCTCACGGTTTTTTCTTGTAGTGGGACACCGATAGGTACGCGATTTCGCCCCTGTCGCGCTGCAAGACATTCGCACCCTCATCATTCGCGAACGACGACAACGACGATTACGGCTTTGGATTTCACACTTGCTAGGTTACACAACGACGACGAGGAAGATTCCGGAGACGAAGAATACGTTGAATACACGTTCTTTGGTGATGTCGTCGACGCCATTGCCTACCCAAACCCAAACCCCATCCCAAACCCACCAGAACCCGACACCGAACGATGGGGCAGACGCACGAGCGTCTGGATGCCACCCGCCCCCGTCCAACGTCCTCATCTCCATTCATACCTATCCACCTCTTCCTCCGCCACGTCTGCGTACACGATCCCCTTGCTAGAATCCCGAGAAGCACGAGATCGAGATATCCTAGCTGATTTCCTCCGACGAACTGGACCTTCCACGCCAGTCTTCGTTCCCCCTCCTCCTTCTTCTCCACCCAGATCGAGACCCATGCCGAGACGGAGAATGCGAGTCGGAGAAGACGAGGTGGAAGATGCGTTGAGGAGGGCGGAGGATGTTTTGAGGATGATTGGTGAGGTTGGACAGGATGGGGATGGGGAGGTGGTAGCGCCGTCACCACCTACGCCGACGATACCTATTCCTATACCTATTTCTATCCCTTCGTCTGCCTCTCCAGAATATTCGAGCCCTACGTTACCCACGCCTACTGTGTCGGATTTAGTGCTCCCGCCATCTCCCTCATCGTCGTCTTCTTCTGCCTCTTTGACACCTACACAGTCCCAACCCCGACCCCGACCCGACCACACAGACCTAGACCTAGACCTCCCATTCCCATTCCCGCTCCCGCTCGACTCGTCCGAGTCTGATCCAGACCCCGAGGTGACTCGAGCTCTAGGTCTTCCCTGGGTTGGATTTGGCGGTACACCGACGGAAGAGATCGACGAGCCGGATTTCGAGTTGGGTGTGTTGTTTGATGGTGGGGAGGGAGAGGAGGAGGACGAGGCTTCAGAACCACAACCAGCACCCCTCGAGGAAGAAGAGGAAGAAGACCCATGGCGTACAATGCCCGCTCTACGCGTCGTTTCTGATACCGAAGACGAAGACGACGATTCCGATTCCGATGCTAGGGGCGGGTGGATGTTCGATTCCTCTGAGGACGAAGACGAGGACGAGGACGAGGACGAGAACACCCCACCGGTCAGTTGGTACACGCCTCCACAAAGAGAGCTGGATCCATCGACATCCGCAACTTCACGAAACACGGCCCGGGGAAACCCCCCACCCATTTCAGACAGAGACCAGCTTCTCAGGGAAATGGACCGGACTCGGATATTGACAGCCGCGTTGAGGAGGTATACGCTTCCCACACCCCCACCACAATCACACTCGACGTTACCCGTTGGGGAGACGATTCCGTATGCGCCTCCTCCTCCGAGGACGCAACCACGGGCACCGCCGTTTTCTATCGATTCTACGCCTCGACCGCCGTTGTTCTCTGTATCGACGGCATCGTGGGCGCATCGGAATTGGGATGTGGATGCGTATGCTCCTCCTCCTGCCCCTCCTCCTGTTGATCGTGTGAGAGGTTATCTTGGTCGTCCCCCGCCGCCGAGGATGGAGAGGAGTTTTGGGGGGATGGGTCGTGTGGGTGTGGGTGCGGATGGGGATGAAGATGAGGGCGAGGGCGATGATGAGAAGGAGGAAGGGAATGAGGAAGAGGACGGTGCTGTTGTGATCAAGACGGGTACGGGGAATGGGGTTTTATTTGCTATGTGATCTATCATCATCTGGCAGGTGTTGTGCTTTTCTTGGTTTTTGTTTGTGTGGGGGGTTTTATGCACGTTTATCTTTTTCGTAAGACTCCTCCACGCCATATACGTTACATCCACATCTACATCTGCATAATTTTCCTTCCCTCGACCGGATCTGTATCTCTACCCTCTATCCTCTACATCCCTACCTCACCCCTTTTCTCTTTTTTTTTGTTCGCTGGAACCTTGGAACTAGGGCGGAACATCATCTCAATTCGGTTTTTTTATGTATGATAAAATTCTTCATCTACTCACTTTACTCGCCTGCTTTGCTTGTTTTTATACTAATTGTCGTCGTCGTCGTGCGTTCATACATACATACACACACATACATATCCGGGTTTTTTGCTTGCTAGACTTTAGACCCCCCCTGGGGGGCGTATACATAGAAATTTCAAGAACCATTATTGAGAAAACAAAAAGCGGGACCTCGAACTGAGGAGACTGGCTTTGAAAGGGTGGGGAATAACACAAAAGTTGTGTGTTTTTCAGGGGCTGACGCCCAACCCGCTGCGCTTCAATATTCAATATCAATGGTGATACCGTGACGCCGAGTCCCGACCTAAAATTGAGGGTCTGCATGTGTTGCGTGCTGAGTGCTCGCGGCAGTAGTTCTCTAAGTGCTAAATACTCACCATCGGGTCACTGAAGGCACGATGAATAAAGGTATTAGTCTCCCTGCTGGGTCGTTGGAATGCCTCAAAAACCTACGAAAGGGGGGGGGTTCCTAAGGCTGCCGAAATTCAAGGATCGAATTGGGATCGAATGTCCCGCACACGACCCCAGGGAGGTAAAGCTGAACGAATGGCAGGCGAGTCCGCTTCAGTACCGAGGACGACTCACGAGCGCTAGGTTTTCCATGTATCAAACGCTCCATTCTACTGTGCGACTCGTCACTCCGGGCGAAGATCTTCCTTCGACCCTACTACTGCGGGAAGGGAAGGTATTGTAACCGTTGTAACTGGTCAATATGAGCGCGAAGCCGGAAGATCTCCCGCCCCAGAACCCGTAAGTTGCGATGGAAGATTTTGAATAATGATCATGACTCAAGGCAAGTCCAAGTACAGCGTTATCAGGATTCAGGGTCTTTTGTCTGAAAGAGAATTCAACAAGGCACGCTCGGGAGGCGATAGAACGAAGCAATGTGGGAAGTGTAAAGGTATAAAGTAGCCCGTCAAGTTTGTGTGCCAACCACCTCAAACTTGACTCGGGTGCAGAGCGCCCTGCGGCCCCCTCCTTTCTAGATCTTCAGTTTTCTGTTGTTGTTTTTCATGGTTCATGGTTCCTCGTAATCTCAACGTCCAGCTTCTGATTTCCTTGCTGGCCTTTGTTCGTCGTCGTCGTGGTGAAAGACTAAGAAAGCAGACGAGCGCTTACCTGAACTCAAAGGGCGCTAGGCTAGATTCCCACGTAGCACGCGGCAGGGGAAGCAGACTTTTCTTCCCCTCCGAGTGACGAGTCCGTGCTTCTTTGTGTCTTACTCGACGCTTCAGCTTGCTCTTCTCTTCCCAGCGCAAACAAAGCCTCTCTATATGGGTTGTGAGCACTCACAAATAACGGGGATTTGATCTCACGAACAACACAGCATCCCGATTCCCAGGTTCCCGACTTTTGGACTGAAACTCATCATGCACTCACAGGTGGTCACTGAATCTGACTCCGACCGAGATTATCTTCGCAAGGCTGGTACTTCTAGGCCAGTATTGCGATGTTCGACTTTCAAAAGCTAGGCGGGAGCGATGATAATATTTCACAGCATCACATCATCCCAAAGATGCGATTGGTGTTCAACAAAGACGAGATGCCAACACAGTGCTACGGTCGGGATTCATGATCTTGTCTCACCATCATCAATGTGCGGACCATTTCAACAATATGCTATATTCACACATTTCCGTACCAGGATCAAATCTCAGGGACTTCAAGGTTCTGATCACGAACGGTGGGCGACAAAGAGGGCTCCTTGCTAGCCACTAGCATGACCGAAGACTTCTACAATTTTGTACAAGTCTTAGGGCTAGCAACGAGGACAACTGCAAGCTGCAAGATCCGCCTTAACGCGGAAAATGCATCACCTTAGCCTCTCAGCTCGATATATCTCTAATTGTACATAGCAACGGGTAAAGATCAAGTCATGATCGAGGAGATGGGGACTCGGGAGGGTCTCACCCTTACAGAGGAGAGTATAAAGTGCCGCGTGTGTCCATACTCTTATGACCACCCACCCAATCTCAGGAAGAACTTCTTGGCCTGGAGCCCCACCCCCGCTTTCCCCCCCCCCCCTTTCCTTGAGTACTTTT